GTTGATATAAAAATAACAACAGTAGTGGTGAGTGGTGAATATTGCAGTGTTTGTTCAAATTAGAAATTCAGTGAGCGTAGACTAGTTGAAGAACAGCTCGATGTCTGTGGAGAGCAAACAGCTTCCGGAAGCCTGAAAGTGGTTTAATAAATTCCAAAGCAGAGGCGGACTGCCCGCTGGAAGCACCGGGATATTTCCCGGCAGCTAAAGGGTCATTTGGCCTACCGTCAACAGTCAGCTCGACTGTAAAATAAACAAGTAAGATTCTCAGTGGGTTCTCAGAATCCACACATCAAGCCACACTCTGCTCTGGCAGATAAACTCTGGAAGCAGTGCGCACAAGACGCGCACAAGGGCGCACGTGCAGAGTCCAGACAAGGCAGGCAACATTTGATAATATTTCAGCTCCCTAAAGCATAGGTGTCAAACTCTGGCCCGCAGCCTAATTACATTTGGCCCGCGAAGCCATACCAAATTACTATTAGAGCTGGCCTACTGGTATTATACAGCTAATATATATATTGTTTAGTATTAAGCTTTGCTTGTTCCATATTCAGTTTTTCAGCAAAACTTGTTTGAGTCCATAAGAAGAGATTCATTCTTATATCTAGAGGAAGATATTTTTTTTCAATAAATATTAGTGTTAGCCCGCAACTTTGTTCCAGTTTTGAATTTTGGCCCACTGTGTATTTGAGTTTGACATCCCTGCCCTAAAGTAAACGATTGTCACAAGGAAAAGCAAAGATTAACGAGAGAAAGGAAGAATTCGTTCATTTTCAGGAAACATGTGCGAGCAGTTTTGTGTAATATCTAAGATAGTTAAACTTACTTTGTGTCTCACTCTGTGAAAAGGTGTCTAAATAATGACTTTTTTGGGCACAGTTATGCTTACAGACTCCACTTTCCTATAGAAACAAGACAAATGCAATAAACATTAAAATATGAATATAACTGGTCTGAGAGGCCTGGAACAGAATCAGAAGAGTAGCCTGAATAATTGTTTCAGTCCTCCAACATCACTGATGACTGGTGGATGTAAAAGGAACAAATTTGTGGCAGAAGCAAGTATGCATTTGTGAGAGAGGGTGGATGTCAGTGACAACACTGAAAACACTATGATGGCACCAGGATGCTAAAAATTATGATTATGTAAATTATTGCTTGCAATGTCCCTTCCACAGACACATGTCAGTAAAAACAAAATAAAAGAATCTTGTTTCAAGCATTTGAATTGACTTCAGTGCAGTTTTTGTATTGCAACAAAAACTGATGTCAAACGAAGACTTTCTATCTAATTATTATAAGTTGTTCATATGAGTGCCAAATTTGGCCCTTTTATTTTGAAGACTGCCCGTCATGGCCTAATCTTCATGTTTTGACCCAGTTCTGTTGCTAAAATCACGCTTTAGTTTCACTCTTAAACCGCCCGTGTATATATGCATGTGAGTGTGTTTTCATTTGAAGCGCCCTCCGTGCTTTCTTTGGCAGTCGGTGCCATATAGAGGACGCCTGTTTCTGCAGTACTGTAATGCAGTTTACAGAGGATCCAGTTCAGGTGTAAGAATGTACTTTCAGGGCCAATAATAATAATAACTGATGAGGAGGAATGTCCACAGTATTTTTTTAAATTTTTTTTTTAACACAGGCATGACGCTTGACTCATTTGAATTTTAGCTGCAGCTACAGTAAACCTCAGTGGGATACCTTCCTCTGTGGATTGAGAGTGTTTACTTTTAAAAGTCTGAAGGCAATCAAAAAGCACCCAACACCACTGAAGCTAAACTGATTTATTGAGTCTGTGAACTGAATTTTAAGCTCTTGCACATGTCCACTGGTTTCACGGTTAGGACTTACATATACAGGAGAAACCAGGGAGTATAAAATCAACAGCAACATGAGTGTTACCTGATATAAATGATATCTGAATACATCTGTATTTTTGTGCCACCGCGGTGTGTTTCAAAGCTTTAAAAAGCGTTTGGCTCACCTGGAAGAACATGTAGGTACCAAGTCGTCTTTCTTTCTCTTCTTTGCCTTGCTGTCTATGAAATTCCAAAGCTAAAGAACAATAACGGCCCACTGTAGACCATTGTCTCTCCTGCACAAATGTAAAGGTATGCAGTGATTGTTCCATCTTATCTGTCCTGTGAAAAGTGGCATGCATCGAATGATAAGAACACATTGATAGTGTTTGACCATCCTCTTTGATCACGTCACGAGCTACGTGAGACAGCAGCCGGGGAACCTGGATTCTGTCTAGAGAAAATAGCTTGATGCACAAAAAGCTGCATTCCTTTATTCTGCCACTAAATCAATGCTTTTATTCCAGAACAGAGTGCGGCCAAGTCATATTTGTCCCTGAACCTAAACTGCACCTTGTGCGCTCTATTTTTTAGGGGTTAAATGACTGCCTTTGCTTCCTGCTGTTTGGAGGGACCCAAAGCAAAAAACAAACAAAACAAAGAAAAAAAAACACCAAAAAAAGAAAGAAAAAGGAAACAAAAAGAAAAAAAGTTAGACTAAATTGAGGGTGTGTCAGAAATGTGGTTGGAAACACCAATGGTTGACCATGACTGCCTCTGCACTGCACTGCACTGCTTTTTCTTTTACCACCTAAATGTTCCACTTTAGATTGCACCAATAAAAAGTGTGCTTTGGATTTTGTTTTTGGTAACCATGGCAAAGCAATACATTTCTGCACGGTAGCTCAAAAAGCACACTTTTAATTCGTGCCAGAAATCCAAATTGGGTCACGAATCTCTGTGTCAGACGGCAGCCCCAAACTCCAACCAAGCTGAACCAAGTTTGCCCAAATGGCTTCAGGTCAGAAGAAACAACTGGGAGCTTAATCTGCTCTAGGGATTCTGTCCTGGCATGAAACACAGACCTTCAATACGTGTCCTTGAGAATTTCATCTGACGTTTTCTTTGAAGTGTGGGAAGAGGGAATGTCTCTGTCACACCCAGGAAGCTGGGCTATTGAAAACCTGAAGGCGAGGAGAGTATTGACTTGGACAACAAACAGTAGATTCCTGAGAGAGACAGTGAGCTGGAGAGAGTCCAGGGTTTTGACAGGAGCTGTTTATGAAGGATTCATTCATGTCTTTGGAGGGTTATGGTGTTAGGCTTTCACTTTGCATTTTAAACACATAGCAGAGTGTCTATTTAAAGAGCTCACTTACAAACACACATATTCGTGTACGGGGAGGGGTTGATGACAGGCTCTAGTGGATAAACGGATAGACGGATTCAGGGACAGATAGATGTGTGTTAGATGACGGAGACACTTCAGGCAGACAGGGAGTAACTGTGACCCAAAACGGCATCCACCACCGTAGCCTCGACCGCCACTGCAGCAGCCACTGTCGCTGCTGCTACTTTAAAAAGCCAGACTTCCACGTGGCTGGAATCTTTCTTGAATAATCAATTATTACTGAAAATGGAAAGTTTTCACAAAAATCTATTCAGTTATGTGAGAAACTAAGTAAAACCTTACAGCTTCTATAGGAATTAAGAGGGTAAGTAGCAGCCAAGTGCAGCAAATCAAATTCGCTCAGTTAACTGATTACCAGTAGGTGTGAGCACCTCTATAAAAGCAGAAATGTTGACAGTTTGTTGCTCTGGAACATTCAGGTGTGACTTAAAAGATTGTGCATTGCTCATAGAAATTGTAAAAACAAAAAACATAAGAGCTACAGCTCAGACTCTGCAGACCTCATTTAGCATGTGAAGTGTTAAAGTTAATAATAGTACAATTTAAAAAATACTGAACAAGTATGGCTTGTTTGAAAGGGTTGCCAGCACAAAACCTCTTCTCTCTAAACAGAACATAGTAGCACAGCTTACTGTAGGTCTGCAAAGTTGCACCTGATCAAACCAAAGGACTTCAGGAACAATTCCTTTGGACAGACGAGACCAAAGTGACGAATTTTGACGATAATGTGCAGCATGACGTTTGGTGAAAACCGAATACAGCATATCAGCACAGAGACCTCAAAACACGTGGTTAAAAGGGTGATGATTTGGGTTTGTTTTGCAGCCACAGGACCTTGGGCACCTTGCAGTCGTGACTGACCATGAACTCCTCTGTATGCCAAAGTTTTCTAGAGTCAAATGTGAGGCCATCTGTCCTAAAAAGCTAATGCTTGGCTGATGCTGGGTCATGCAACACAAACACAGCAGTAAATCTACAACAGAATAGCTGAAAAAATAAGGAATCAAAGTGTTGAAATTGTCCAATCAAAGTCCCGACGTAACCTGATTAAAACGCTGTGGTTAATGAATACCCACAAACCTCAATGAACTGAAGCAACAATGTTAAGAACAATGGACCAAAATTCCTCCACATTGATGTTTGAGGGACTGATAAAGAGTGATACAGAAAACAAATATTTCTAATTATTAGTACTAAAGTTAGTACTATGGGCCGGCTGTAGCTCTGGAAGGAGAACAGGTTATCTATCAGTCAGAGGGTCAGTGGCTCAACCCGCGGATACTCCAGTCTGTATTTCATAGTATTAGTAGTAGTTAGGCAAGAAACGGCTTCATTTATGCAGGGAAAATATTGTTCATGGAACAAGAATAAATTTTGCCAGGACACTGGATTCAAACCATTTAAACCAAATGCTTTGCACACCCAGCATTTTCCATAAGGCATGTTTCTTTGTTACAACACTCTTGGTGTTTGGCCTTTTCGTGTTCCTGCTAATATGTATATTAAGTGTTTGAAAAAGAAAATTGTGCTCTCTTTTTTCAGATGAGGACAGGCACGAAGAATTTAAAACCCCTAACTCTATTCTGATTAAACCTTTACGGGGGAATTCCTAATATGTTTATAGTGAAAGCTCCTCTACAGCTGA